TGTATTAAGTAGATTAAATTGACTCCAGTTATTGTAAATACAATATTAAATAGTATAACATTTGTAGTAGAAGTAGTTACAGGTCCATAGAGAGAGCATTTAGTTCAGAAAAATGCAACTTGTATTTTTTCCCTTTATGATAAATTAATAAAGGCATTTCTCATATTCCACATAGAAGAGGCCAGTGGCAGGAAAAGAGTTGCTGATAGTGGTTGTTTGTTGGTGAATGATTTAGCGTTAATGAATGAGAAACAAAACTGAACGTTATTAGATGTCAGAAATATTAAATTGTGACAAAATGTAACAGATTCTGCTTGATAATGCTGTTGGACTTCTCTATAAGCAGGCAGAAGAGGAAGCTGTTCATCTGAGGAGGAGTGTGACAGAGGATGGAGAGGAGACGTGCCCTGTGTCTCTTATCATTATGCTCTTTTATCTGTTCAACCATTATTGTGGATTTTGGAGTATACCTAATGAACTGCCAATTACAGGGGAGTACTGATAGTTTAATATTATTGACATATATAAGCATATCAGCTACAATCCACATACATTTGTTTTCTTGGTAGAAGATTACAAGTCTAACAGGTCTTGTAGCGTTAGTTACACAAACAACACTATTCATTATTATATTGTTTATTTGCCAGGACAGTTTTCAAAAGAACAGACTATTTCATGAAAATGAAACAATCATTATGTAGGCTACAGTATCTTATACAAATAGCTGTGCTCTTATACTGCATCAAACAAAATTAATTTTAGGCATTGTCATGTATAAAGAAGCACCTGACCCAACAGGTCATCTAATAGTGGAACATTAAGAATCAGCATGCTCATCCAGATGCTGCCCTGGCCAAAAGCCTATGACGTTAAGGTGCTGGTCACGCTTTACTGGCTGGTCTGTGGAGCCTGTTATTGAGGGACAGCGGACATCTTTGCCATGCCACTGGCCATGATGTGCAGGACTGTGTATAATGTTGTGGAGGAAATGATGACCATCCTTCGCAGAGTCATTCATCTCCCCAAACCAGGGGAAATGGAGTTGGGGCTTTGTTCGCCTTGCTGGTTATGAGGCATTCTGCTTTGCTGCCGGTGCCATTAATGAGTGCAACATCTGGCCACAGAAGAGATGCTAAATAAACTAAAACCTTTTCCCCTTCTGTAATACTGCAGGACATCTGTAATGCCATGTGTAAGTTTCTGGATGTGCACATTGGAAGTTCTATACTGTATAGGCTTCGCCCTTTTTAAGCTAATGCTAGTGGGTTGGCACGCATTAGCAGCACTGAAAAAACAATAGACGTGCTGTGGGCCCCCCTCCGGTCTCACCTTGAGTATAAATCGGACTGAAAACAGACAATCGGCCCCCAAAACAGCCTTTTCTTCAGCCATTATGGAAACCAGTGAGGCCCAAAACTTATAGGGCTGAGTATAGACTCACAGAATCTGGAGTTACAATATGTAACTAGAGTTCTATATCGTATAGGCTTTCGCCCTTTAAGGCTATCACTTGTGGGTTTAAGGCAAAGGACAGAGTAGGAAAGAGTCAGGCAGCTCTCCACAGACCGACAGGCAGGAAGGAGAACACAGGACAAAGATATCCAAAATCCCTCACTCTGACAAAACAGTGAGACAGGCACTGTGCAGACAGGGGAAGCCCCTGAGAATGTTCTCCGTAGTGCACAAACAGATGCTATGAATGTTGCATCACGGCCGTGTGTGGAACGTATTTGGACAGTGCACACACTGGGCAGAGGGCTGAGATGTGGCTTCTTCCTCTGAGTTGTGAGGAGGGGGAAAAACCCCTCCAAAGTGATCACTCTAGAGCGGTAAATCCCACTGAAGGGCTAAGGAGCATAGCACCGGCCTGTGTCTCCTTAAGAGTCTCAGGAAATGCTTCATCAGAGTATGATTGAACACTGATCTGTCACCGAAACCCTCGTGACGGGAAGAAAAAGCAGCAGTGTTTGTTTTGATTGTGCTGAAAGCTAAATTCCTGTCCATCAAAGACTGGAGGAAAAGAAAAAAACTGAGGCAGGGACACGCAGTGGGATCCAGATTCATTCTATACCCCAGTGCTGAAAAGCGGTAGATGCTGCCCTGGTGCCTTGAGTAGTGTTCACAACATCTTGCGAAGAGAGCAGATCTCTTCTTCCAGGTTATTGTGAAGCCCAAACTAGACAGATGTGTGACCAGTGTCTTTGTCTGTAAGGCAGCTTCCTCTTATAGTACTTGTCTGATCTTGAGCATGTGAGTGGAGAGCGAGAGTGTGTTCCTGGAATGACAGGATTGTTTCCAGTATCTCATTGAAACCGTGGGGGGGGGCACACTGCTGAGTGTATCCTCTGCTGATAATTATCCTGTCCACCCATCTGTCCTTTAAACATACACGCTGCCACTCTGATTGAAGCTCTGAAAGAAGGTGTACATTTATTTGATGCACTGTTGGTTGTCATGGTGACGAGCCAAGCCACAGCCCTCTTGTTTAGCAGCTCCTTGTTCTGGGCCAACTTGCTGCTCTGCTCCAGGTTATGGTGGCAGACAGAAACACACAATGCTTGCATGTTGAATTCACTAAAAACTGTCTCTACTGTCATTTATCTGCAGGTCTTGGTAGAGTTTCCTTGGCTTCAGGGCTGCAGCGCAGGGGCGACCCTTTCTGGCCTGTGGCAGTACCATGGCACCAGGTGGGAGCCCCCTGAGGCGGTGCAGAGTGTGACTGAAGGTGTCCTCTCCTCAAATCCTCCAACTACAACAACGGCATGGAAGTGGTGGCCAATATATAAACCGATTGATTACTATACTGTTAGAACCCTAGAACCCCTTATTCTCCCTTCTTTCATTCTTTCATTCTTGCTGTGCAATTGCTTCCAGACAAAAATTACATTTCATATTGTTCCTTCCTATATTTGCCTTTTCAAACAGACTCAGACTAAATGTACTGATTTTGGGGAAACTGACTGCTTAAAAAACAAGACTACCAGTGAGGAGTATTTCAATCTTGTAGTTCCAAGAAAAAATAAAATCTTGGTCTCACTTTTTGCCATTCATAGTATTTTCTGCATCGAATCAACCAACTGCTTTGAGATTATTTCTGGAGCTGTACATAAATCTCACATTTTAGCTTTCATCAGCAACTTAAAAGTAGTGTGAATATAGCCTCATTGAAAAAAGTGATCACATTTCCTTCGGGATCAATAAAGTATCTATCTATCTATCTATCTATCTTTCTATCTGTTTCAAGGAAAATTGGGGCGACCCTCCCACAAAGTAAGGCAATACAAATCCCAAACAATCCTAAGACTTGGTACACTGCTGGTTGAATTTCTTGTCTTGATTCATCCTGTGGCCTGCTGACAGTATACTTTAGGATAATGTTTGTGTGTGCGTGTGTGTGTTGAGAGTGGGTGGGGGAATTAGGTAAATCTGTTTACCAAGATAGTATATGATTAAATGCTACTGTAAAGACCTGTTTTACAGCTGGGGTTAGCACATTTTAACGTTGGGAAAGTTGTAGTTATAGTTAAGGTTAGAGTAAGTACCACCAAGAAATGACTGCAAGTCAAAGATATCCTCATGATCATCTGAGGTCATAGAGATGCTACTGTGTTTGAGTGTGTGTGTGTGTGTGTGTGTGTGTGTGGAGGGGGTTTAAAAGGTCACATGTGTTTGCCAAATACTCAGCAGAAGTTGTGAGTGTGTCATGTTACGTTGGCACTTCCAGAACAGATCAGGTAGACAGATGGTTATGGCTGCGCTGCTGTGAAACATAGATCAGGCAGACAGACAGCAGCAGCAGATGTTGTACGCAATGGACATCTCTGCCAGAGAGTCTTTCCTTACTAAAACCAGTGGTCTAAAATGTCCTTGTGTTTGTTGGGGCTGTTAATATGCCTCCATGCAGTCAACAGCCAGTTGCTAGCAGCATTATCTTTGGGTTGTCCATCCGTTCAGTCGTCCATTTGTCCCATTATGTTACTGTCAGTGGTCAAGGTCACTGTTGCCTCACAGAGCACATTTTTTGCCTTGTGAATATCAAGGCAAATATCATATCTCCTCAATGTTTTGAGAGAATTCCATTCCATTCCATTTCATTTAGCTGACGCTTTTATCCAACGTGACTCACAATAAGTGCATCAACCATGAGGGAACAAACCCAGAACAACAAGAATCAAGTAAGTACATTTTGCTTCAAAAAGCCAAACAACAAAGTGCTACAATGTAAGTGCCACATAAGTGCAACAATTATTATTATTATTTTTTTGAATTGGTTATTAGACACCTCCTCCTCACCAGGGTGTAGTCAGAAAAGATGTGTCTTTAGTCTGCGGCGGAAGATATGAAGATTTACTGCTGTCCTGGTGTCAATGGGGAGCTTGTTCCACCATTTAGGAGCCGGGACAGCAAACAGTTGTGATTGTGTTTGGTGGTTTGCTCACAGTGAGGGAGCAGCTAGCTGATTGGTGGATGCAGAGTGGAGTGACGGGCTGGGGTGTAAGGTTTGACCATGTCCTGGATTTAGACTGGACCCGATCCGTTCACAGCATGGTACGCAAGTAGTAGCGTTTTGAAACGGATGCACATTTTCCACATTCACTTGAACTTGGATTTGTTTTTGTCACAGTTACCTAATATGAATCTGCAGTATTTCTAGTTATATTATTTTCTAATGTATTTGTACACTGTTCAATGTACAGTACGTATTTATTTCTCCCCTTTTTTTCAGAGGAGTATGGTTGCTTTCTACGTTGAGGTCTCTGAAGAGGCTTGGTCGGTTTTGGTTTGGTGGATTACCAAGAGAGGTGTTTGGTTAACATCCAGGGTGGAGAAATTCCAGCCTGTATACAGCCCCCAAGAATATCTGATCTGACCCTTGAGACAAAGTTGATTAATGCATGTACCGACTGCATGTCATTTCTGTAAAGTATCATGGTGACTGTCAAGAGAAGAAACGTATGCAGACACTGAATTAAACTCAAAGACAGTGCAGAGTTGACTTTGCTTTTTTATTCAACGGACATGGCTTTTTACACTATTCTATGACAACATTCACCCTCCCTGCAGTGATGTTCAGTGGATTGTTAGAACATGTAGTGGAAAAGTACGGTTTCAGATTTCCACTCCACTGCTTTTTAAAACGATAGATCAGGGTGTTGTCATTGGCATCAGAGAAAGTCAGACGCCCTCTCTCCCAGTCCAGCTGAACTTTGACTCTGCGTGGCTTTCTTCTCAGCTTGAGTGGGGTGCGTTGGCCAGGGGAGGCCCAGTACTCCCCAGAGGAGAGGGACACAGTCCACAGGCCGCGGTCTGTGTCTGAGTCAAAGGCAGGACTGGGGTTTATATCAGAGTTGGACCAGTCTTTTCTGTGTACTGTCTCTTTGGCCACACCCAGAGTCCAGTGGCTGTTATCTCCCACCTCCACCTCCCAGCTGTGCCTCCCTGAGCTGAAGACCTCTGAGCCCAGGATGCTCTGTGGGCTCACAAACCGCTCTGGATTGTCGGGAAGAGGCTGCTCCTCACACACAAACACGCTGGAAAGGTCAGGAGACACACCTAAACACACCGAGCCTGTGTTAGGGTCCATGGTCACTGGAACTGAGGGACAGAAGGTTTCAGTGAATCACAAAGAAAAAGGCACATATCAACACTAAAAGCCAAAACACACTGCATACACTCAATGTACGCAAACACACACTTTTTCACTGTACCTATTTGCATTGTGCAACAAAACTCCAGAAAAGCTACAATTGTACCATGTTCACAATACATCTCTATAACCTATTGCCAATAGGTACCCATTGACATGTGTACAACCCATTCAGCCATTGTGTGACAGTTAATGCTCTCTACACACTATCAGCTGTATGATACATGTATTTGCTGCAACTTGGGGCTGTGACGTGCTTGCAATCATGTAAGGAGTGGAAGCTTGTCAAGTTCACCAAGGTTCAGGTGAGGTCTGTATGTCACGGCTCGGGCCGTTTCCATGGTGTTTTCTGTGTCCCTCCTCCTTTTCCACCTCTTGTGTGTGTGTGTGTGTGTGTGTGTGGGCACGGTCTCTACTCCTGGCTCCTGGTGTGAGTTCTACACCTGGCTTCAATTAACCTCATCACCAGTGCTACAAATACCCTGGTCTCTCCTCCACTCATCGCCAGATTGTTACAGTCACTCCTGTGGTTCACACTCTCTGCCTCACTCATAGTGTCAAGCCTGTTGCCTGTCTGCCTGCCTGCCTGCCACAAGCTTTTTTTTTCATTAAAAACTCTGTTCATTCACAAACTGTTCCTCTCTGTGTCTGCTTCCGGGTCCAGCCACAATGAAACCGTAACACTGTATCCTTTATTAGTACTGGTATCTAATGACATTTAGCATATGGTAATGGAAGATGCAACTGAAAGGTGGTAGGAGGTAATTAATCAGTGGTAATTAAAAATTCCACGACACCAATAGGTAAATTAAAGCAGAATATGTAAAAAAAAACAACAAAAAAAACAATCCAATTACTTTCTATGTAAGTAGACAGCACAGAGTAAAGCATTGCTCACAGTACTGGATGATCTTTAGCATCTTGTCCCAGACACGGTGTTGCACACAGCCCTGGTGTTTGGCCACATCAAGCAGAGCGTCTGATTCATCCTCTGGCTCCTCTACACTGCACCGGGCCCTGGGACAAACAGTGCAGATGAGCTACCATACTGCAACAGTTGCAGGTCTGCATGGATTTTGTTAAGTATGTGGTGAGTAGGCGTGCCACAGTCTAGACATTTTCTGCTGAGCACCAGGGGTGTCTTGATATCCCACTATTTAAAAAGGCATTATTGATATCACGTTAATAATTGTATTAAGATTCTTTGGGCCACAATATTTTTTGAGGGAAAGTTGAGTGAATCACTGCACTTTGCACAGCTTTACTATTAAATATATTTACTCATTTGAAAAAAAAATCTATTAGAAACGTAATGTAAAAATAATTAAATTAATTATAAGACTGCAGGTCAGAAGATGTTCTTTAATGTGGCCAAGGACACATTGACACTGCTAAGAGAATGTAACCAACTTTATCTAACACCACCTCCAAATGGGGTCTGACTGATCGTGTGTCAAATAAGTACTATATATTTCTTAAATATCTTAAACGTCTAGAAAACTCTGCGGGGATTAAAGGTGCAGCCCTCAGGTGGTTAGAGTCACAGTTAACCGAGAGGAGTTTCTCCGTCCACCTGGGTGATTACTGCTCTGGGACGGCCCCACTTACATGGGGTGTACTTCAAGGATCCGTTCTAGGCCCTATCCTATTCTCCCTATATATGCAGCCCCTGGCATCAATTTTTGTAATATACAATGTCTCCTTCCACTGCTTTGTGGATGACATACAGATATATACTTGCCCCTGAACCTTTAAACCAAGACTTCACTGCAGCCCCTGCTTAAATTACATCAAATTATGGATGCATACAAACTTCCTCAAATTAAATGAAGCTGCAAACCTTATCAAAGTTTGAAGATTATCTCATTAATATTATCAGGCCCTTTTAGCATCCAGGTTTATTTAGGATTGATCCTTAATAGGTCTTTTTCACTTTGGTACCTAATTTTCTGCCTTATTGGTCAACTTTCCTCTTGTTCTTGTCCTCTTGATCTCCACTACTCTGTGATATGACTCTATCCTGCTGCACAGACCTGACACTTTCATTTTTTAACTGTAGCTTCTGACATATTATTGATAATGAGTGTTTTAGAAAGAGGAGTTTTTATTTGATGAATGTATGTGTGAATGGGTCAATGAAAACTGTACTGTAAAGCACTTTGAGTGGTCATCAAGACTACAAAAGCGTTACACAAATACAAACCATTTACTGTGGCAACCATAATGAGGCAAATCCTTTGATTTGTGTTCGATTCATACATTTGTCTATTATTATCATGAGGGGCTTACCTTTCAGAGGTGTTCTTATAATTCTGTGGGCACATAAAAAATATTAAGTTTAAGGTTTTTTGTCATTTCATTACATACTCGACATTTTAAAAAAAACTCCATGGATTGAACACCTGACTACACCAGATGATAGAGGTCAGGGGAGAATGGTCAGACTGGTCAGAGCTAACAGAAAGACTAGAGGCACTCAGATTACTACAGACAACTGTGGTTACCAGAGAAGTATCAGAGTGAACAACACCTTGTACATAAGGTGGATGGTCCACAACAACAGAAACAATGTCAGGTTCCATGGGTGAAAACTACCTTACACCAGGATGCTGCTGCTGCTCGTCTAAAGGTGTGAGGAATGTTTTCTTTACACCCCATGATTGATACCAATCAATCATGGTTTGAATGTCACAGTCTGAGAATTGTTGCTGACCATGCTCATCCCTTTATGGCCACAGTTAACATCTTCTAATGGCTACTTCCAGCAGGGTCAGGCTCCATGTCATGAATCAAAAGTCGTCTCAAACTGGTTCCATAAGTATCACAATATTTTCAATGGACCTCAATGTCCCCCCTGTCATCAGTTGTAAATGTAAAAAACCTTGTTTAATTCATGCCTCAAAGAGCAGGCTGTATTGAGAGCAAAGCAAGACCATACTCATGGTATACAGTGTTTATGATAATGTAGTGTGTGAGTGTTTAAATGCAAATAATATCTGGGAGGATGGACAACCAGAAGCTACTTCCTGTAGAAATTACCTTAAGAAAGAGGAGGTTGTCGAAGCCCATGGCGTCTTCTGTCTCTCTCATACTGTTAGTCAGCACTTGTATGTCATTGTTGATACCGTCAATCTTTTCTTTCATCCTTTGACTCTTTTCCTCTTCCTCTTGTTTCACCTGTGACATCAGAGAAGCCTCCTCATCACGGAGGTACTGGTGCATCTTCTCAAACTCGTCCCTCAAAATCTGGGCTGTTTGCACTGATTGACTCTGACAATGGGGTAGTAAGACATCATGTTAGAAGATTTGTTAGAAACACTTCAAATGAATTCCTCACTTGTCATTACAAAGCACTTATCAATTGTGTATACTGCATGGCCATATTCTACAACCACTAGTCCATTGTTCCGTGTGTGGTCACTGTGTGGATTGTGTTCCGTGTGCTCCGTTCACCCGGATGGGTTAAATACAGAGGTCCAATTTCCCCATGTTTGCATGTTGCATGCTGTGTGTGGGGCCATAAAGAGGAATCTTAATCTTATTCTTAATTAACTTCACTGCACTGTCACACCTGAAAGCGCCTTGACCTTCTATGTAAAGTGGCTCGAAATAATGTATATTATGATTTGGCGCAATACAAATAACATTTTAATTGAATTGAATTGAAAGTTGGAACGAGGATTTACATTTTTGTGATATTTAACGTTAGGCGTTCATCTGAGGTTGGCACGTTATCAATTCGCTAACCTTTTTGAATAAAGTAGTCTTTCGAATCGAGATTAATTGAATGGATTAATGAGCCAGTTTATTTCAGTTAGTTCTCTTAGTCCTCCTCTGATCAGATTAAATGTTGGTCTTTTGGTCCGAGGCACCTTTCACATCTGTTATTTTGATCTGGACTAAACTGAAAGGTCCGTAGGTCTGGACCAAACAAAGTAGTAGTAAAATCCCACATGCGTTTTCCCTCAATAATAATAGGTAAGTGAGGAAGTTGTACATGTATTTCAATATATGCTCATGTAATTCAATATATGCTCATTCATATGCTCAGTGTGGGCCTTAGTACCACAAAAATATTCTATTTCCCTTAATAAAAATGGTATATTATTGTATAACACAACACAAAAACTGCTGACATTACCAACACTTGTATAATTAAGTTTAAATAATCTAATATGTTATTTTCTTGCTTGTAACTTGGCTTTGTTCAGGAACCAAACTACTTATTTATAAAGTACGTTGTCAGTATGAATCGAACTTCTTCTGTCAAACAGCTGTAATTTCCTCATAAGAAAACACCCTGTTTGCAGTACCTCGATATGAGTAGCAGTATCCTTCCAGGTTTGTCTGATGGAGGTTAAACTGTCCAGTTGCTCCTGGTGGCTTCTGATTGCAGATCGCAACTTTCTCTACAGAAAGAATATCAGACATCAATTAAATTAAATTAAATTTATAACACTTACATTTTAAATGAGCCACTGTTATTGTTGAGCTGAATCTCAGAAATAGGATCTCAAAGAACTACACTTCCCAGAGTGCACCAGCAGCAGCAAACCGGCTGCTAGTCACCTGATCAATCATTGTCACTGATTTGGAGCCCCTGAGCAGGAATGGAGGTTCTCAGTCATTCAGACAAACAAACTTCAGAGAGAAGAAGCTCCAAGTTCACTCATAGGTTCAGTCCAGAGGTGTTTGCAATGCTGCTTGATATGTTCAAGTTTATGTTTAACTGCTGTGAAGATTGGTTAAGGAACACATTGAAGCATTC